CGCAGTGCTCTGGAAGCATATGATAGAGGCCCGGGGGTTCCAAGTGACCCAGAGCCTGGACATCAGTGCCCTGGCCAAGGTGTCAGATGGCTACACACCTGGTCACATTCTCCAAGCCGTCCAATCGGTGCTGAATGAGCGACGGCTCCTGCAAGTGGCCAAGCGGCCCCTGGTGGCCTCTGAATTCCTGGGACATCTGGCGAAACTAGATCCAGTGTACAGGGAGGAGGAGGAGTCCATGAAGGTGAGGCTGATGGGGGCTGGGGTTATGGGTGAGCTGTGTCCATCGGGGAGTCAGCCCCCCCAAAACATGCCTGGGACCCCTCCTGCTCCCCCAAATTACCAAAGGACGACTGGGTTAAAATGAACATGGGTCTCATCTGGGAAGGGAACAGGAAATGACCAGGAAAGTCCAAGGGGTAGGAGTGTGTGGGCAGAACCATCTCACCTGGTTTCCCTGAGAGGGAGCCCAAAAGGGCCACCTATATGTTAGGAGCCCTTGGCTGGTTCTGGGATCAACTGTCACCCATATCCCCACCCCTGAGGCACTGCCCCTTGCGGGGGGTAGGGTGGCCTTGGGAGCCCAGGAGAGAGGGCTGCAGAGGTGGATGGGGGAGAGCTTGCCCTCCGAGATGGCTGACACTGTGGCCTGGAGTATTGAGTGGGGAATAAGGGGAACCCTGGGGGGTGGGGGAGAAGAGGCTGCTGAGAACACAGAGTCCATAAAAAGGGGAGGGGTGAGGTCAGGAGGTAGAACCAAGGGTCGGGCCCGAAGTACTCTCCCCTCCTGCTCCCACCACCCCAGGACTGGTACTTCAAGACTCCACTGGGCAAGAAGAGCATGAAACTCAGCAAGGACCAGATGGAGGCTGAGGAAGCCAAGCTGGCCAAGGAGAAGAAGAAGAGGAAATGATGCTTGAGATTAGTGGGTTGGGACTGGGCAGTGCCCCAAGGGTGAAGGGACAGGGGGGCAGAGGCATAAATGCCCAGATGGCTCAGGGACACTCTCGTCCGTCCATGTCCATGTCTATGCCCTCCCTCTGCCCCACCGTGCATAGCCCCGCCTGGCTCCCATCTCTTCCTCCTGGACCCCGGCCCTTGCTGGCTCACCGCGGTCTCCCGCATAGATCCCTGTGCTCGGCCCCCACCCCGGTGTCTCCATCTCCTCGTCATTGTCCTGTCCTGGTTCCGAGCTCTCTTCCTCCTCAAGGTATTTAAGTGAGAAAAACTACAAAGAGAAGGAGAAAGGGAAAGAGGAGAGAGGGGAGAATGAAGGTCCACAGTGAGTGTAGACAAAGAAAAAGGCAGCGTCTGGAACTGTCCCTGGTCCTAGCCCCTCGGCACTAGCTCCCTGTGTGGTCTGCACAGTGCTTTCCCTGGGCCTCGGTTTCCTTACTTGCATAGTGAGGAGGGGTTGGACCAGCTGATCTCCAAGATCCCTTCTACTCTAGGGTTCAGTTACTCTAGCAGAAGTGTCTGGGCAGTCAGGAAGTGAGGGTGGTGGGGTGGGGAGGGTTGGAGAGCTCTGCAAGGGTGTGCGGAAATGGAGGGGCTTTGGGCCAGGACCAGGGCTGTTGGTAGACCCAACACCTCCTCTGAGTGGTCTTCTCCTCTTTCCTCCAAAGACCCCCCAACTCAGCACCTGCCTGCCCCAGCTCTGCACATTGTCCTCTGTCTGACCCACAGCCTATACTTCAGGGCTCGATGGGACACAGCCTCTTGCCCATGGGGAGGAGTCCAGTTCCCCCTTGCCGGAGAGAGAATAGTTCAGTCGGGTGGGCTCAGGGCACTTGGGGAGCTGGGGCAATCATACCGCCAAGGGCTGGGGAGCCCCAGAGTTCTCTGGGAAAAGGCAGACCCATGGACACTGCACAGAGTGTGTAGATAAAGGTCAAGGTGCATCCGAGACCTGCAACTAGAAAACTACTGGAAGAAAACATAGGGGGAAGCTCCATGACATTGGCCTGGCAGAGATTTCGTGGATATGAGCCCAAAAGCCCAGCAAAAATAGACAAATGGGATTGCATCAAACTAAAAAACTTCTGCACAGCAAAGGAAACGGTTAATAGAGGGAAGAGGCAACCCACGGATCGGGAGAAAATATTTTGCAAATCAAACATCTGATAATGGACTAATATCCAAAACATATAAGGAACCCGAACTACTCAATAACAAGAAAATAAATAATCCTATTTAAAAATGGGCAAAGAACCTGAATAGACATTTCTCAAAAGAAGAAATATAAATGCCTGATATATAATACACATGAAAAAATGCTAACATCTCTAATCATCATAGAAATGCAAATTAAAACTACAATGAGAGATCACCTCACACCTGGTAGAATGGCTGTTGTCAAAAAGATGAAAGATGAGCATTGACAAGGATACAGAGAAAAGAGAACTCTGCACTTTGGAGGTATTGGAAATTAGTACAGCCATTTTGGAAAATACTGTGGAGGTTCCTCAGAAAACTAAAATTAGAATTACCTTATGAGCCAGAAATCCCGCCACAGGGTATATACCCAGAGGAATTGAAATCGGTATGTGGAAGAGACATCTGCGCTCCCATGTTCATTGCCGCGCTATTCACAAGCCAAGATATGGAAACGACCAAAGTGTCCATCAGGGGAAGAACGGATACAGAAAATGAGGTAGAGCCTCTTCCAGGGACGCTGCCTAAAGGCCCTCAGAACAGTCCAGCGTTTGACATGTGGTCCTGGGCTTTCCTACAACATGGCCTCGAACAACACGGGGCTGTCCTGAGCCCCTGCTAATAGGATTGTTTGCCTTTATACCAGGGAGGTTGGGACAGCACCAGCAGCTGCAGGTGGCACAGGCCCAGGGAGACTCTGGGCATTCGTGCTGTGGGACCTAAAGTTCTCATAAGGTGTCTAAAATGGAAACACATGCCAGCAGGGCTCTGGTGGTGCCACATGTGCCACATGTGTCTGACAGCATCAAGTGTGCTTTCCCTATTGAGGAGCAGAAAGTCGTGGAATTGTTGAAGGAACAGCACAGAGTCAGGAAGCTAAATTTAAAAAGGAAGCTTTCATTGAGTAGTAAAAATTGAAAGGCTAAAAAAAAGTGAAGTATATCTACATAATGGAATACTATTCAGCCTTCAAAAACAGGAAGTTCTGTCGTTTGCGACAACACGGATGAACCTAGAGGACATTATGTTAAGTGAAATAAGCCAGACACAGAGAGACACATACTGCAAGATCTCACTCACACGTGGAATCCAGAAAGTCCAACTCACAGAAGCGGGCAGTAGAAGGTGGTCACTAGGGGCTTGCAGTGGGGGGGCGGTGGATGGGGAAAGGGGGGACGTTGGTCAGTGGGTTGATGCTACAGTGAGACAGGAGGACCAGGTCCTGGTGATCTACCGCACAGCACGGTGACTACAGTTTATAATAATGTATATTTCAAGATAGCTAAAACAGGATTTTAACTGTTCTTACCACGAAGAAATGATAATGTTTAAGGTGATGGATGAGGTAATTACCTTGATTTGATCATTACATAGAGTAAACATGTATGGAAGCATCATGTTGTACCCCATAAATATATACAATTATTATTCATCAATTAAAAATAAAACTTGTTTAAAAAAGCAATTGATTAAAATTTTTTTTTTAAAAAAAGAGCCAGTGTGAGCCAGAGAGGCGCGACTGCTTGGGCTGGAGCACCCCAGCCGCCGTGGGAGTGGTGGGCCCGAGCCCAGCCGGCTCGCTCTTACATTTTCTTTCTCCCCTTTTTTCTTTTTATTTCCCCAAAGAGAGCAGTCTCATCCCGGTTTGCCTGAGGAGGCAGAGGCACTTCTTCCTCACTCTCCAGCTGAAACCCCATCTAACCATGGCAGGGTGGAGATGCCATATGGGAGATCCAGGGGTCATCCAAGAAAATGGGGGTGTCACTATGCAGGATGGGCAGGGGAGGGTCAGCACCCAGGATAGGTGTGGGGGGCGTTTCTGCTGCTGCCTGCGGCGGAGCCCTATTCCCTGGGCAGAAGTTTGTGTTCTGGAGAAGACTCCCTGGGGAGTGCCTCACACCGTGGGGGTAGCCTTCGATGTTTGTCATTGCTGTGAACTCCTCCCTTGGGTTTGGGAGTGGGAAGGTGCAGGGCTAACCGATGACATTTGGGAGGGCAGGAAACACTATCTGACAGGCACAGGCCCTCCCTGTGGGATGAGAGCGGCTGATTTGCGAAGTAGGTGATAGACAAGGCTCTTGAGATCCCGGGTTCTACCCCAGCTCTGTAACAAGTTATCTGTGTGACCTTGGACAAATCACTTCCCTTTTCTGGGCTACATTTTCCTTTACCTGTGAGATGACAGACTGGCCAGATTGGCCAGCACCATCTGGGTGGTCCCTTTCAACTCCGATGTCATCCAACCCTAGGGCGAAGCTCAGGGTTGGAGGGCTCAAGCCTCCCTCTGTTCTCCAGGCCTCCCCAGTGCCCCTCCCAGCCTGAGAGTTCCGTCCTGGGTGCTGACAGCCAGGCCAGTCGGGGCTATTTATGGCTCGGCCTGTGTGTGCCCTCCTGCTCCACCCACACTGGGCCCCACCCGGCTCGGGCCCAGCGCCCACCTGCCCAGTCCACCAGCAGCATTGCCCCAAGCATTGTCCTGAGTCCTGCGGCTTTGGCTTTCTCCCCCAGAAACTAGCCATGCCTAGGGGAAGGAAGTCCCCTCCCCGCTGGGAGCACCACCTGGGCTGCCTTCCTTCAGCCCCCACTTGCCAGGTCTGGGGGCCCCCGTCCTCCCTAGCCCGGGGGACCCCTCGGCCGTCACCACTGCTCTGCCGTGACATGGCCCTGCAGAACGCCCTCTACACTGGGGACCTGGCGAGGTTGCAGGAGCTGTTTCCCCCCAACAGCACAGCAGACCTGCTGCTGGAGAGCCAGGCCGCGGAGCCTCGCTGGAGCAGCCGCCAGAGGGGTGAGGGACAGCTGGGTGGCCTGAGAGCGGGGGGCTGGGCTGAGCACCTCAGGTACAGAGGTCCCAAGAGCTTGAGGAAAAGGAGATGTCCCTGGCTGTTTCTACCCCACCCCGAAGCTTGCCCAAGATCCTAAACCTTGGCCCAGGAATGAAGTCATGCGGAGCCCAGAATAGCTCCTGCTGAACGCGTGGCCAGATCAGGTTCAGAGCTCGGGACACAGGGACCCTCTGCCTCCATCTGTGTGTGTTTCCCTTCTTCTCTCCCTCTGTCTGTCCTTGGCAGTTCCCTTTCTTCCTCCCACCCCTCCCCCTTCCCACATGCTCATGAGCTGGTCCCCAGAAGAATGCAGGGGGCAGGGAGAGCCCCCCAGTGACAGACACACCCTCTGTGCCAGGCTGGTGGAGAAGCCCAGCAGAGGGGCTGAGGAGCACCCTGAGGCTGGCCCAGGACCCATCGTCACCCGCACGGCCTCGGGACCTGCTCTCGCCTTCTGGCAGGCAGTGCTGGCCGGGGACGTGGGCTCTGTCTCACACATCCTGGCAGACTCCAGTACCGGCCTGGCTCCTGATTCTGTCTTTGATACCAGCGACCCGGAGCGATGGAGGGATTTCCGCTTCAACATCCGTGCTCTGAGTATGGGCCCGGGGCACGGGGCTACTGAGCGGGAGAGGGGCGACTGCAGCGGAGCTCCGGCTCCCTCTTCCTGCCTCCGCCCAGCACCCCCTGTTGGCTGGCAGCGCTTTGCCTCCCCTCAGGATCTGAGGCCCGTGTCCCCCTCTCCCTAGGACTCTGGTCTCTGACGTACGAAGAGGAGCTGACCACCCCTCTGCACGTGGCGGCCAGCCGTGGCCACACGGAAGTTCTGCGGCTGCTGCTGAGGCGGCGGGCGAGGCCGGACAGCGCTCCCGGGGGCCGCACCGCCCTGCATGAGGCCTGTGCTGAGGGCCACACAGCCTGCGTCCACGTGCTGCTGGTGGCAGGAGCCGACCCCAACATCCCTGACCAGGATGGGAAACGCCCCTTGCATCTCTGCCGGGGGCCTGGCGCCCTTGAGTGAGTGACCCCTCACCTCAACCCCAGTTCCACTCTGAGGGGAGGCAAAGAGGCCTTCCCAAGGAGGGTGAGGGAGCACATTGGGGCGGCGGGCTCTGTGGGCTGGGGTAGCACGGTCCTGGCTTGAGGTGGGGGTCAGGGTGCAATTCCTAAGCCATCCAACCATTGGCCCCATGACCTTTGGAGAGGCCTGGCCTTTGGACCATTTTCTAGTTTCCAGGGTTAGAGGAAGGCTGTGGCAGGGGCCCAGCTGATGGCCTGTATTGGGATCCATCATGGGGAGGCGGTGCTGCTGAAAGCGTTAACATTTTCCGAGCTCATCCTATGTTCCAGACACTTGCTAAGTAGGCAGCAACTGAGTCATGGTCCTGCCCTCAGGGGATCCTGTCAGGCTGCAGAGGGCAGTGGCCGCAGTTGGGGCCTGCTGTGGTCCCTGTGGGCAGGGCCTGCTTCTCAGCCAGGCAGGTCCGGCATCTCCTTATTGGCAGGGCACCCTCAGATAAACGGGGTCAAGGGACTGACACTGACCAAACTCACAAGAAACTGATGAATACATTCAAATGTGTCAAGGTGTTGTTCACTGTTGGCCTAAATAATTATGATCTATTATAAGGAAACTGGGAAGATAAGTCCCCACTTACAATATTTTAGCGGACGAGGAATCCGGGCAAAGGCAGCCTCGGCAAACTGGTGCACTAAGTGTGCATACAGCAGAGGCTCTCTCCCTCCTGACTGCACCCTCACTGGGTTTCGCCTCTCACCCCTGAATGATGCCAAATTATTGATCCTTGGGTTTCCCTTTCATGGACTCTCTCCCTCTTGCTAGCCTCATCAGCCTCCAGAGGATTCCATGGACTTAATCATATTATGGTTGAAGATGTGTTCTATACTAGCGTGGTCCAACAGAAATCTAATGTGAGCCACATATACAATTTAGAATTTTCTAGTAGCCCTAACAAAAAATGAAAGAGGCTGGGTGCAAATGGCTCACGCTTATAAACCCAGCACTATGGGAGGCCCAGAAGGGAGGATCACTTGAGGCCAGGAGTTTGAGACCAGCCTAGACAATAGAGTGAGACCCTGTCTCTACAAAAAAATTTTTAAAACTTAGCTGAGTGTGGTGGTGCACACCTGCAGTCCCAGCTACTCGAGAGGCCGAGGCAGGAAGATTGCATGGGCTCAGAAATTCAAGGTTACAGTGAGCTGTGATCAGGCCACAGCACTCTAGCCTGGGTGACAGAGTAAGACCCTGCGTCAAAAAAGAAAAGAAAAGAAAAGTAAAATTAATTTTAAAAATTGCATTAAAATATACACAAAATTTACCGTTTTACCCATTATTAAGTTTACGGTTCAGTGTCATTAAGTACATTCACATTGTTGTATAACCATCACCACCGTCCATCTCCCAACTTTTTCTTCATCCCAAACTGAAACTCTGCACCCCTCAAACATCAACTCTCCTCCTCCCCCAAGCCCCTGCAACCACTATGCTACTTTCTGTCTCTATGAATTTGACTACTCTAGGGACCTCTTATAAGTGGAATCATATAGTATTTGTCCTTTTGCGGCTGGCTTATTCCACTTCGGGTTCATCCATGTTGTAGCATGTGTCAGAATTCCCTTCCTGTTTAAGGCTGAATAATATTCCATTGTATGTAGATACCACATTTTGTTTATCCATCAATCCATTGATGGACACTGGGTTGCTTCCACATTTTGACTATTTTGAATAATGCTGCTGTGAACATGGGTATACAAATATCTGTGAAATGGGTATAATTAATTATGATAATATATTTTATGTAACACAATATATCCATAATGTTATCATTTCATCATGGAATCAGTATAAAAATTGAGATATTTTACATACTTTTTTTGTACTAAGTCTTCAAAATTGGTATGTATTTAACACTTATAGCACATCTCAATTAGGACCAGACAGATTGCAAGTGCTTAATAGCCTCATGTGGGCAGCAGCTACCACCGGACAGTAAGGTTCCATACAATCCCACATGTTTAGTTCTGACCATGTTCCTGCCAGCCGCCCTGAGATCACACCCGATGATAATCCTTCCTTCCTTTCTTGAGTAAACAAATGTATTTAAAAATGATTATGGGACAATTCCAACATATAGAGAGAGGTAGACGGGATAATCTAATGAGCCCCATGATCCATCCCCTTCTATACCACACACTCCTCTGCCAATTGCTGCCATTTTTGAGCTCTTCCGATGACAGCTTTTCAGGCCTTTTGTCACGTGCTGCTCACAACAACCTCATGAGGTCGAGGTATTATTAATTGTCCCCATTCTACACATGAGGAAACCAGAGCTCAAAGAAGCAAAGTCCCCTTTGCCTCGAAGTTTGGGGCACACATTACCATGACTCCCCACACTTCCTACAGGCATGTGCAGCCTTCTGTGAGGGACAGCTTGGAGCAAGTCTGCTTGGCCAGTTTTGGTCTTGTTCTTTGTCCCACTGCCCCCCTTTCCCTCTGTGCCCTCTGCTGGGCCCCATGTCCCCACTTGCTCCTCCAGTCCCAGCATGCAGAGCCCTCCAACTGCCCTGCCGCCCCTGGACCCCAACACCAGTTCCTCTCCTTACTAGCTGTGCAAATTTGCGTGGGATCCTCAAGCCCCAGAGCCTCAGTTTCCTCATCTATGATGTGAGACTCAGCAGAGCACCTACCATGGGAGCGCTGTGAGGATTAAATTAGTTAATGCACATAAAGCCCTTAGAAGGGGGCCTGTTCTGAGTGATAACTGCTTGTGACTTTTATTCCCATTGACGATATGGTGGACTAATCTGACAGAAACTGTTTGGACTTTAAAAGAGAACACTGTTGATCCTGCAAAATGTTGTGTGGATGACCAGTGACAGGCGGGATGGAAGGTGGAGGGGGACAGAACTGAGAGCCACCCAAGGCTCCCTGCCATGTTCACTTTGCTCGGACCTGCAGGAATGCAAGGGGTCTGTGCCCGTTTTCCTCCCCATTGCCATCTTGCCCCTACTAGGTGCGCGGAGCTGCTCCTGAGGTTTGGGGCGAGAGTGGATGGTCGGTCCGAGGAAGAAGAGGAAACTCCTCTGCATGTGGCCGCCCGGCTTGGCCATGTGGAGCTGGCAGACCTGCTTCTAAGACGTGGGGCATGCCCCGATGCCCGTGATGCAGAAGGCTGGACCCCACTGCTGGCTGCCTGTGACACCCGCTGCCAGTCCCCTGCCGACGCTGAGGCCACCACGGCCCGTTGCCTCCAGCTGTGCCGCTTGCTGCTCTCGGCTGGAGCAGATGCCGATGCTGCTGACCAGGACAGGAGGCGGCCCCTGCACCTGGCCTGTCGCCGTGGCCATGCTGCTGTCGTGGAGTTGCTCCTGTCCTGTGGTGTCAGTGTCAATGCCATGGACTATGGGGGACACACGGCCCTGCACTGTGCTCTGCAGGGCCCAGCTGCAGCCCTGGCCCAGAGCCCTGAGCACATGGTGCGGGCTCTGCTCAACCATGATGCCGTCCGCGTCTGGCCAGGGGCCCTCCCCAAGGTACGGGGGCTGAAGGCAGCAGGAGGGCCACCATGGTGAGGGGACAGGTGGACCTAGACCTGTGCTTCAGCTTGCTTTGGAATGTGGCCCAGAACACTTGTGCACATAGATTAGTTCCTTCTCTCTGTCTTTCATTCAACAAGTAAGCAAAGCCCAAATGGGGTAAAGGAGAAGACACAGAGCAGCAGGAAATGTGTGTGCACACACGTGTGTGCATGCGTGTACATGTGTGCACATGTATACATGGTGTGCGTATGTGCGTGTGTTCATGCACGTATGTGCATGTGTATACTGTGTGTGTGCATGTACGTGTGTAAAGGTACACTGAGGGTAGTGAGGCCAGATTACAAGGGATCCAAAAAGAGAGAAGGAGTCAGGGCTGACGTGGGTGCAGGGAGTTGTTAAAGGGCCTTCATCAGGGCAGGGAGCCGATGAAAACAGCATCTGAGGAAGCTCCAACTAGCAGTAGGACCAGTTCAGTGAGGGACACCCTGGACACAGGAGAGGATCCCCCTGGGAAAAGCGTGGGCCTGTTTCACCAGGCTCAAGGTCCCCTAAACATCTACAAACAGACGTGGTCCCACTTTCTGAGAGCTTAGCAGTTCGAACGTCCCCCAGACCAGCTGCCACAGTCCTGGTGCCTGTGAAAACGCCTTTCACTGTCAGTTTTCAATTTGTATCTCACTTTATATTAATTTCCCCTAAGTGGGTTCAACTAGATGATGTCAAGGGCACTGAGCCTGGGATGGGAACATCGTTCTCTGAGGAGATGGGTCACGACTGCAGCCGCCTTCTGAGAGGGCAGCTGGCAGAGGCAGGTCCCCTCTGGCCCCGCCTAGGGGCTAGTCCCACCCAGCCCCGCCCACCCCAAGCCCGCCCCCCTCTGCCCCACCTCTCCTCTTTGCTCACAAACCTAGAAGCATCTGCCTGGATTCCTAAGCAAGACCAAATAATTAAACAGCCCGAGAGTTCGGCAGATTGGTCTCCCCTTTGGGAAAATACAAGAAAATCAACAATTAACACTAATTAATCTCCTATTAACACCAGATAATTAGGAGACAAGCAATTCCCTGTAATCTGAAGGCAGCTCTGACAGCTAATGATTTCCCCTCTGGGCGGGGAGGGAAGAGGACTCCAAGCTGCAAACGCATTTCCCAGGACCCCACCAGCCACCCTGCAGCCCTGCTCCACCCTTCAGCCTGTCTTTGGAACCACGAGGCCAACAGAGCAAGGCGCCCCATTTGTCCCCGTCCACAATCTGCAAGCCCTTCAGCCTCGGCTGGGTTCCTGTCCTCCCTGCAAAGAGGCCTCCACGTCTGCAGTGAGATGTCAGCCCCAGCCAGTTCTCTAGGAGCCACCACATCAGACTTGGTGCCCAGGAGCCCTGGGTCCAGGATCTAGCTTTGATGCCTGCTCGTGTGCCCGCAGGCAAGTCACTGAAATTCTTTGAACCCCAAGTTCCTTGCTTGGGCTACAGCTTCTCCCTAACAGGGATGAAAAGCTGCAGGAGAAGACTGGGGAACAGTAGGAACAAGTGCAGCCCTGACTCCACATCAGACACTGTCCTAAGGGTATTGCCTGTTTTGTGGGTTCCCTCAATCCCCTCAACAACCTCTGAGGTCAGTGGTGACTAAGAGTGCAGGCTCTGGAGCCAGGCATGCTTCCTGTGCAACCCTTGGTAAGTTGCTTAATCTCTCTGGGCCTCCATTTCCTCATCTGTAAAATGGGGCTATAACAGTATGCTTTCTTCATAGAGTTAGTGTGAGAAGTAGAGTTAATACCTATAAAGCCTTTGGATAGGGCCTAACCTATAGTTAGTGCTCAATCCTTGTTAGCTAGTGTTGTTCTAAAGTTAATACATGAGACGGCCCTTGGTAAGCTGCTAGGCACCATCCCATATAGGGTGTCATTAGACACGGCAGAGAGCAGTACAGACCAGAATAGCTGCACGGGCTTCCTGGAGTGGGTGGGACTTGGGTGGGCAGCTTTTGGGGTGAGGGAGGAGGAAGGAGCGGGCATGTTGGGCAGGGTGAGCACTTGCACAGGGTGCAGAGGAGGGGATAAACGGGGGCGGCCTGAGGGGCTGGCAGGAGGAGCAGGTGGAAAGGAAAGTCAGACAGAACCAGCCTGTTGTCTCCTAGGTCTGGGAGGAGCGAGGCAAAGAGGCCTCCCCCTATACGCTGAGCTGGTGCTGCTCTGGCGAGCGCTGCTCAGATGCAGGTCAAGAGGCAGGGGGCCTTGGCGTGTAAAATGCCCTCCAGGGGGCCTGCCCTGGACAAGGCCTGGCCTTCCACCTGCTCCCACTACTCCTGTGCTCTCAACCTGCCAGGCAGAAGGGTCCCTTCTCCTCAGCAGGCACAGGTTTTAAAGCCCCTGGTGTTACATGCAATTGTGTGGGTTTGGGATGTGCGTGCGTTATGTATAGGAAGGCTGCCTGGGAGACGGTATTTAGCTGTTTCCAGATCTTGCAGAGGCTCTGTGGCCACTGTCTGCAGTTAGAGATCCAGCAAGAGATGGACGGAGGAAGCATGAGTATGCTTACAGGTACAGAGGGTAGGCACGGGCAGGCATCATGGCACCAGTGTCTGTTGGGCTGGGGGTCGCCTTTCTGGCCATGCAGATGCTTCCTTCACGGGCCATTCCACTGCCTCAGGCTGCCACCTCAGAGACCTTTCTTGGCCTCTCCACTTAGGATGGTGTCCTCTCCAACCAGGCACAGTCCCCTGACCCGGCTTATTTTTCATTGCAGGTCAGTGAGTAATGACTTACGTGTCTATTATGTTTTCCCTCTGAAATCGAAGCTCCCAGATGACGAGGACCTTGTCTATCTTCCTCACTGCTGGATCCCCAGATTTGGCACATAGTAGGCCCTCAGTAAATGTTTGCTGAATGAAGAAATGAAAGAACAAATCTGGCTCCACCAGATCCCATCCTTGCTCCTACCAACCCCCCCACTGCTGCCACGGGCAGTCCTTGCCCCTGAATGCCCCCCTGGCCCCTGAGTTCTCTTGCCCTCACAGCCCAAGCCCTACTCTGCGAGTTCCTCCCTGACCACCCAGCTCCCCTCCGCCGCTCCCTCTTGTAGGTGTCTCCAGCCCTCACTTGGCATTCTGTTGTATACAGCGATAGGTCTTTTAATCTGCTCAGGAGCTCCAAGCACAGGCCAGGACCCCTTTCTAGCCAGCAGAAAATCCAGCACAGAGCCCTGGAGAGGCAGACGTGAGAGCAGGACGATGTAGTGCCTAAGGGCAAGCCACGCCGCCAGGCCTGGACTGTGGGAACTACAACTCGGGCAAGCTATTTAACTTCTAAGTGCCTCAGTTTCCCTTGGCTGTGAAATGGGGGTACAAATAGTTCATACCTTGTAGGGATGAGGATTAAAAGTTCATACAAGTGAGGTGCTAAGAAAGGTATCTGGCATAAGTTAAGCACAATAGAAATGCCAGCTGTTGTATTGGTTTCCTGGGGCTGCCACAACAAAGCACCACAAACAGCATGGCTCAAAGCAATAGAAATTCATTCCTTTACAGGCTGGAAGTTCACAAGCCAGAGGTTGGCAGGGCTGGTTCCTTCTGGAAGCTCTGAGGGAGAATCTGTTTCCCGCCTCTCCTTGGTGTTCTTTGGCTCGTACACACATCACTCCAGTGTCTGCCTTTGTTGTCACGTGGCCTCCTCTGTGTATGTGTCTGTGCCTGTTTTCTCTTCTTACAAGGACACAAGTCATATTGAATTAGGGCCCACCATAATGGCCTTATTTTAACTTGATTACATCTGCAAAGACCCTATTTCCAAATAAGGTCCCATTCATAGGTCCCGGGGTCAGGATTTCAAAACATTTTTTGAGAGACAAAATTCAACCCACAAGAACTGTTCTAGAGCTGTCTGGTCACCCTGCATGGACTGGCTGGGGACTGATGCATCTCTGCCTCCTCCAGGTGCTGGAGCGCTGGTGCACGTCCCCACGGACCATCGAAGTCCTGATGAACACCTACAGTGGCATGCAGCTTCCCGAGGAGGCCATGGGCCTGGTACCACCTGAAACTCTGCAGGTCAGATTCCAGGACCCTGAACACAGAATCCCTCAGCCTGACCCCTAGAGACTCCCAGCCCCTAAACGGCAGCCCCATCAGTCCCACACAGAAATTACCCATCCACCTGCTCATGTCCCAAGAGAAGAGAACTCAGGGAGTGAACACCCAAAACATACACTGTTTCTAAGAGGTTCCTGTAGACCCCCTACCAGTCACCAGCCTACCCCTGTAAGGAGGAGTGGGTGCCACTTGTCCAAGGCTGTCCCTCGCTAAGCCCCTGCTTCTGCCCCCAGAAGCACCAGCGTTTCTACTCCTCCCTCTTCGCCTTGGCGAGGCAGCCCAGATCGCTGCAGCATCTGAGCCGCTGCGCGCTCCGCTCCCACCTGGCAGGTTGCCTGCCCCACGCCCTGCCCCGCTTGCCCCTGCCGCCCCGCCTGCTCCGCTACCTGCAGCTCGATTTCGAGGACGTGCTCTACTAGGTGAGCCCTGGGTTCTGTGGACAGTGACAGCCATTTGGGGGTGGCGGGTGAGTCAAAGGAAGGGTTGAGGGAGAGCCCTGGCCAGAACCGGCCCACCCCTGGACACCGGATGTCTCTGAATCTAAACCTCTCCTCCCAGACATCTACTGCCTTTTGAGAGAGCCTGAAAGCAGATGCTCCAGCCTGCGGGGGCCGCTTCTCTGCACCAACTCAGGCCAGGCGGCCCTGGCAGCAGGAGGTCTGTCTCTGCAGGCAGATGTGGGCGCTTCGATTTCCACCAGAGAGAGGCAGAAAGGCCTCTGCAGCCAGGTGATGTCTGACAAAGAGAGTTAGCACCTGTGGCAAGTGACACTCTCCTCTCCGGGCTCTCCTGAGACCCCCTGCTAGCCTGCACAAACCCTGTATGTGCATTAAAAATCTCCAGGCTGTTTGGTGCTGTCTCCAACAGACCGTCCTCTGAGCCGGCTCCCTCGCAGGGGAGTCAGGAGGGGCAGACTTAGAGGGGCCCCGAATCTGTCCCACAGTGCCAGCTGTGTCACCTCCCTCTTTGGCATCCAGCAGCTGTTGAGGGGATCCCAGGCTGACTCCAGCTCCAAGAAACGGAGGAATGGCCACCTGGCGAGAGAGTGTTAGAAGAGGCACAAAGGATGTGCCGCTGTGCGAATGCGGGCGGCGCAGAGTTGAGGTGAGGTGAGGAGGCGGGAGAGCCGTCGCGGAGGTGGTGGCCAAGCGCGGAGGGTAACCAGGTTTAGAAAAAGGGAACCAATTCCACCACTGCCTGACCTTGGAGGTCAGGGAGCACCAAATGCACGCCTGGTTCCTGCCTCTTTTCATCTGCTCCTTCCCTAGAGCTCTGTGGCGGCAAGAGCGCGGCGCTGAGTTACGTGACCCTGCTTCTGGTCCACCTCTGCCAGTAACTTGTGGGGGAACGTAAGTCTCTTGCCTCTCTGGGCTCAAGTTTCCGCATCTATAAAGGGAGAGAGAGGGAGAGTCCCTGAGGGTCACTGCGGTCCCGGGATTTTATAAGAGGAACCCGCGGGGAGGAGGTCGCCACAGAGCAGCCAATCAAGTGCACCGTGATCCCGGCGTCCGGGGTCGCGGGCAGAGCGCCGGGGCCCCAGAGTGCGCTCGCGCCAGAGCTGACTTTCCCGCCAACCGCGGCGCGCGCACGGCGGCGAGGGCGGGGCCGGGAGGCGCGAGGAGCCCGCGGCTGAGGAGAAGCGGACCGGAAGTGAGTGGGCCCGGATTCCCGCCCCGGCCTCGCGGGCCTTGGGCGGACTGGCCGTCTGGCTTCGGGAACGGGGACGCGGCTCGGGGCGGAGCTGGGGTCGGCAAGTGGTAGAGGCTTTCCGCTGTGGAAACTCCAGGCCCCACCTCACAGGGCGAAGGTCAGAGGTCAGGCCCACCTCACAGGGTGAAGGTTAGGAAGGCGTTTTCCCCCAGGCGTGTTCGTGGGAACCTGCCACTAGAGCCCCACTCACTGTCACGGCCCTGGCCCCGGGTGGGGGTGGGAGCCTGGAGGAATGTCCCATCGCTCATTCTTTGTTCCACAACTGGTGGCGGCGGGGAGACAAGGCCAGAGCTGGCTTTCTGGTGGGAACAGGGAGGCGCTAAGCAAGCATGAGGAGGTGTCAGGAGCTGATGAGCCCCAGGGACACTTGCAAAACAGGGATGTGACAGAGTGGGAGCTATTTTCGATTGGGTGACAGGGAAACCTACTCTGAGGAGGTGACATTTAACCTGGGACGTGAATGACAGGGAGGACTCAGCCATGTGAGTAGAGCGGGGAAGAGCAGAGATGTGGGTTCTAAAAGCTTGCTCGGCTGCCGAGCGGCTCGGGAGAGGGGAGCCACAGAGGACCAGAGAGAACACCGGGAGGCTGCTGCCTGGGCCAGGCAAGAGGGGGGCAGTGGCGGGCGGGGTTTGGGATCCTTTGGAGAGTTGGTGGGACTTGCCCTGGAGTGGATGTGGGCGCTGAAGAAAAGCGTCATGCAGGGTGATCCCCAGTTTTTTGCTGGAGTGACTGGGTGGATGGTGGTGCTATTAATGATGACTAGGGTGGGGAAGATGAGAAAGGAACAGGAATCAAAGGGTCGATGTTGGGTATATCGAATCGAAGCTGCCTGTTAAACGTCTCAAAGAGGCCGTGTTAAGAGGGCATTTGGACCTATGAATCTGGAGTTCAGAGACAAGGGCAGGTCGGGGCGGATAGATGTGGGACCGCTGGCGTGCGAAAGATGTTTAAAGCTCTGTCCTAAGAGAATCCCGACTCTTAAGGGGATGACTTTCTCAAGAGCCCTGTTTATGAATTTTGATGGAAATTCCATTCAATCCCACCCACTTTATTTATTTTGTGCTTCCTGAGCCCCAGGCTTTATTACTAGATACCCAGCTATGAAGGAGACAGGCTTCTGCCCTCAGTGAATTTTCAATCAAGTCTGAGAAACAAGTGTGAGAACAACTAGTTGGAATAAACGGAACAATAAAATGAATGCAAAATAAATGTGGGAGCAGGAGCTGAGGACATGAGAGGAAGGCGAAGAATAGGGGTTGGGATCTGGGAAGACTCCACAGAGGGAAGGGGTACCTCCCCTAAAGGGATTAGAAGGGGGACAGGGATTTCTGACCATGTATGGCGAGCGTTGGATCATGAGATGTGCCTTTTTAAGGAAGAAGGGAAGAAAAGCCACGTCGAGTGTCCAAAACAGGGGGCTGTGCCTAACTTCACATGTTGTCCCCTTAGCGCGGCAATGTCAGGAAGGTCCTTTCCTGGGTTAGATATCCAGACTACTTGTAAGCCAGGGAGCTTCCTCCCCAGCCTCCTGGCTGTTGGTCCCGCGGGCCCAGAACCTCTCCCCGGTAATTGCTTTCCGTAATGTGTTTGCTCCAAACCAATTTCACGCCTCCATGAGGACTCCGCCCTGCACTGGAGGCGCGGACCTCCCCACCACCAACCTACCCGCGTGCGAACGCGTGGGTTCACACGTACGGCACACTTTTAGCACGGCAGATACACAGGGCTCAAGTACCTAGGCACAGAAAACCTACATAAACCTGCACGCGTGCATACGAGACTTTAAGACACTCATGTACAATCTTCCCGCCCAACCAGCGCACTCACAGTTAGGTACCCAGATGGGCCTAGCGCGCTGGCCCTTGGACCGCTCCCCGGGTCCTGCTCTTGCCCTCCGCGCGTCTCCCGGACTAACGCCAGGGGGCGCTGCAGCACTCCGCACCTCCTTCGCAGTGACCGCAGTTACGCTCTGCTGCCACCAGAGGGTACCCGCGGACAGGGCCCAAGGCTACCCAGCGTGAGAGGACTTGTCTGGCCAATGACTTGAGTCGAAGGTATGGATCCCTTGACTTTGACTTTAGAATACTTCTTTCTTAGCATCCTAGGTACTGGTTGGCAATACCTGAAGGAGAGGCCAGATGATGAGGCCCGACATAGGTACAAGCAGAGAGGGTAGATTAAAAATAAAATTCCTCTATAGGAGCATTTCCCAAATGTGGAGAAGTGAGAGTGGGACAAGTCAGAGCATGTGGACAGTTAAAGCAGCACTTCCAGAATCCCATTTTAGACAATGAGACGAGGCACTCGCTCATAATGGGCCTGTTCAGGGATTCAGGAGGAGAACCATGGTTTTCTGCTGGTAAAGAAAAGAGCCAGCTCTGTTCCGATTTGATAAAGGCAGTGTCTGTTCTTGGTACTGATGAGAGAGTAACAAGCAGATTTTGTAGTGTTGCTGATCTGGGGGAAGATGAGTCCCTTCCATTCTTGGCCATTCTACTCTTTGTCTATTCAGTGCAGGAAGAACTCATTTTGGAAGTTGTTTTCTCATATTCATTTGATCCTTGCACAGGCTTTTTGTCTAGGCAGAGTAGATGATAATCACCCTCTCACTGATGGAAAAGTTAAGTCTAAGAGAGGCCAAAGTCACATGGCCCGTGTGGGGTCAGAACAGGTACTTGCCTCCAGGTCATTTACTCCAGCCAGTGCTTTCTCCATGTACCATGTGGCCTCAGTTCCATGCTCCATGAAAGGGCAGGGAAAGGGGCTGCTGCAGTCGCCACTATATACGTGAATGTTACTGAATGTCAAGGACTACATGGAAGTCACACTTCATAACCCCAGCATGGCAAGGGAACAGATAGAGGATATAAATAGGTTATAAAACACAGTATCTAACAAACATGCACCACACCAGGTCAATACAAAGTCCCTGAGGTCTCACTTGCCTCAGTTCAGAATTGGTGGCCTACTAGGATTTGTTGGCACCAAGCTTTAAGTCTGTACTCTCTGTGCCAGCTTGAGTAGAGAATCCACTTTACCGAATATAGTTCTGAGCAATAATCTCTTGGCTTGAGCTAGGTGACATACATCTTCAAGAGCAGAGGGTCTTTAACCTTGAGTCCTTGACAATGCATGATCTATTCTGTCCTACCAGAGAGTGACAGGCTTATTAAAGTGGCCTTTTATTGGGGGAACTGGTGGGATGGTGATGTTTCGGTATATACACTTTTGAGGTTTTGGAATTTTGTACTGCGTGATTTTATTACCTGTGCAATAAATGAATGGCAGTTATTTTTAAAAATGGCTCTTTCTTCATGCCTTATTTGATTGGTGCTCATACAGCTTTAATTTCAGTTATTGTAGCCCAAAGTTACCTCAATAATTTATCAAGTCAATAAGCCTCTATTATGTATCCAACACTGTTAAGCCATCAAACCAAGTACTTGACCTCTCACTTTTTAAATACAATACACTTTTGAAGTCTGGTCTTTCACAGTGAAGTGCTTGGTTAATTTAACATAGGGTTGTTCTGAAGAATATCTTTAGACAAGTATTTCAGTAGCGAGTTGGGATTCTCAGACCTAAGCTAAGGCACCTCTTCTTTCTCCATCATGACATCTTCCCACCAGACTTGTCTCTTAGAAGTTTCACTGAGTTTAATGCAGTACCCATGGTAGATCAGGACTGTGTTGACCTCTGATGAATTATTAGTCAATGCATAACCAAAGAAAGCTCCCTTCTTGAGTCCTGTCCTCTTCTGTAGTCCACCCTGGTGACAGTGTCTTTCAGGGTGCTGATTTTAAATGCACCAGCCTGACATTAGCTGTGTTCACTAGGCCAACACAGCACTCCTAATTGAAACAAATATCACTGAGATCCATAGTTCCCTCCTGCCCTGCTCTGTCTTGGCTG